ATCCTACACACTGTGCCTTTAAGAAGTCGATAACACTGATGCTGATCAGTTAATCAAACACATTTGTAACCCATCATATTGAAATGAGGATTAAGTCAAATTTGGTCAAAATGACCTACCGGTTAATTATATTTTCAGATTCCTGGCTTTAAAAGATTTCCCAGTTGGAAAGAAACAAAAACATTGCTAGCTCACAGGGAAAAATTCTAAATTTTAAGGCGTTTTTCCTCAAAGTCTTGTTTTTTGTTCCTGCTCAAAAAAATTCTTGAAAAAAAWTTTTTAGGATTATAATTCAGACAGTTCATTCAAATGATACATTGATAAGGCATTAATTCAGTATATTTTGACAAAATGCAATTTTTGCATATGTTTAAATCAAAACCCTATATCTGCCTATGGCATTTCTCCACATCCCACTTTTGGACTTAATCCTCGTTTCGATGTGATGGGTCACGTTTGATCAGCAGCATCAGCTGCTACTTTTCCTTTTTAATCCTATGGAAACAGGAAAATTGGTCTTGACATCTTTTCCTTTTAGTCTTCATTCTTATTTAATAAATAATTCTTATGTGTTTCTGTACACATGAGGTTAAATAGTTTTAGAACTTGATAAAGACCAGTCTTTTTTTTTTCTTTTTATTATATCCCGAAATGTAAAACTGGAGAACTAGAATAGGGTGGACATTTCTTTCTTCCTGACCATAACATTTCTCTTCTCACCAACAACAAACCAGTAACGTAGTAACAGAAACTCTACTCAGAGCCGTTTTTCACACCAAAGAAGTTTCCTTATTTTTGAAGCAGACTGATGCCAGTATGGGGAACGGTCTGTTTCCTCGTGATTATAAAGTTAGAGTGGYTATAACTGACAACTTCCTCTCTGTCGTCCTCTCTTGCCCCCTCCTTTACAGATCAAAAAGCAGCAGCAGGATGTGATGGGTTTCCTGGCAGCCAATAAGATCGAATTTGACGAGTGTGACATCGCGGCCGACGAGACCAACAGGAAGTGGATGAGAGAGAATATCCCAGAGAATGCGAGACCCACCACAGGGAATCCTCTCCCCCCACAGATATTTAATGACAACAAATACTGCGGGGTGAGAACATCACACACAAGTGAAGTACAGCCGAAAACTATCTGTGCAGTTTGTTTGCTTCAGTTATCTGAAAGTCTATATCAGGAACACAGCACGTCTTCAGTCACACATCCAGGATTGTTAATGCTGGTATTTTTACATACAAGTGTGCAGTACTGTGCAAATGTTTTAGACATGTTTTTGCATGTCCAAACTTAAATTTGAATTATTTTTATTATTTCTCAATGCAAAGTTAGTTAACACAAGAGAATCCTGAACCAAATCTGTTACTGGTGTGACCACCCTTTGCCTTTCAATAGCATCGGTTCTTCTCTGTAAACTAGTTTTTTCTGACTCCGTATTGGTTTGTATGATCCATCTCACCTACAACATGATAAAAATAGGGAGCGGAGTGGATGAGCTGCTGCTGAGACCTCGCGAGAGCTGTGCGTAAGTAGTATGGCGGAATGTTGGTAAACTTAAACTAAACACGATTCAATTAAGGTAAAAAAAACAACTGAAATATTTTATTTTTTGACATAAATACTAATCCTTGCATCTTTTTTTTAACAATCAAACAAACTGGACGGGGAAACCATGGAGAGTCTGGAGTGTTATTTGGACGCGTGTTTCGATAAATTCGTGATGGGCAAAAAACAAACAACCACTCCCTCAAACACAGCCACACCAGCCTCTAAACGTACGCGTTCAGAAAGCTCGGCCAGCACCTCCACTGCTTCTCCAGAAAAAAGCTTCACGGAGGTTCTGGACTCCATTGATAAAAAGCTAACTAGCCTAGATGCCCGACTCGCCCTGGTAGAAGTTCTTCACAGAGAGTTCCAGTCCCTGAGAGAGTCCCTGGAGTTCAGCCAGGAACAGGTAACAACACTCGCGGCAGAGAACAAAACGCTGAGGGAGAACATGAAACATCTTACCGAGGAGATAACGCAGATGTCCAGAGAAAACAGGAAAATGAAGGAAACAATTCTGGATATTCAGGCTCGGGGCATGCGGGACAATCTGGTTTTCTCCGGGATCCCAGAGCGAGCGGAAGAAAACGCTGAAGCCTTGGTTCTGGATTTCATTCAACATCAGCTAAAACTTCCAGACGACGCAGTTAAAGACATCACATTCCACCGTGTCCACCGACTCGGAGGTAAGCGACCCGGCAACAATAGACCTCGCCCAATTATAGCTAAATTCGAGCATTTCAAACAGAAAGAACAGGTGAAAAGCCGAGGCAAAGAGCTGCGTGGTACTGATTATAGTGTTAACGATCAGTTTCCCAAAGAAATCCTCGATCAAAGGCGCGTGTTATTCCCAATCAGGAAGAAAAACATCAGTGAGGGCGTCAGAGCTACAATAGCTGTAGATAAACTTTACATCAATGGCCAGTTGTTCAGAGACCATGAGATCACTCCGTGGCTTTATTAGGAACTCCATAAAAGGTTAATAAAATATTTAAAATATTAAAAACATTTACCAATTATAATTGAAATGTAAAAGCACAGCTCAGATGGTGGTTTGCACTTTTGGTGGAGCACGGAGTCGGTGGTTCTTTTGAGTTTTTCTTATTTTCATTGGGTTTTTTTTTCTCTTTTTATTTTTTTCTCTTTCTCCTTTTCTTCACTTACATTACTATTTTTTTACCCTTGTTCTCTTTCCTCATACAGCAGTTACTTGTGCACAAGCACACAGACTCATGCACACCCATATCTCATACACACAGACAGTTCACAAGTAAACATGGCAGGTTTAATTTACTTTCACCTACAGCACCTGCTTTTTTTGCTTCCTAAAACATACTCTTTCATCTACCACTACTGTAATTTCAACTCGTCACCAATCACAGATTATGTTTTTGCCCGGGTCTTGGTATCTTTATGGTAACAGGTGTGGCATAACTTAATTTTCTCATATACAGGTATGGACTCACTAAGATTTGTCACTTGGAATGTGAATGGAGCCGGAAGCCAGCAGAAAAAATATAGGATCTTTGATCAAGTTAAAAGATTAAAGGCAGATGTTGTCTTACTGCAAGAGCATCATAAATCAGATTCAATTGTGGATGATTTTAACTCTCCTGAGTTTCCTAATGTATTTTCATCCTGCTATACTGTAACTCAAGACAGAGGGGAGTAGCAATATTAATACACAAAAATATTAATTTCACGGTATTAGATACGGTTACAGATCCAGAGGGGAGATATATAATAATTAAATTATCTATACATAATCAAAAATTCTGTATCGTTAGCTTATATGGCCCAAATGTTGATGACGCCTCATTTTTTCATGATTTCTTTTC